TTAAATTAAAAGTAATAGTTGTTAGACTTACCCTTTGAATTATTAAATTAAACAAATGTGTCTTGAGAAAGAACAGTTTTTAATAAATTTGATTAAGCGATAGGGAAACGAGAGAAAATTTACACAAATGGATTGAAGTTAACACTGCTAAGTCAACGAATAAAGGAGATGTTATCTCCTTTGTCCACTATTCAAATATTAATAATTTGTTAATTTAATATCACACAAGTAACCCCTGTGGCTCAGTGGAGCGCCTACCTTTAAACCTAAAGGTCGTGAATTCGAATTTCATCTGGGTGGAGAAATTTTCGTTTATTAAAAATTAATGAATGAAAATAATTTCTATCCTTGTGCGATCGGTACTCACCGGAGGGACCGCAGACGTTCGGATACAATTAGCGTCTTTTAGCAAAGACAATGACGTCGACTTTGCTAAGTATCAAGACAATTACTCTACACACACACTACACTAGGTATCTGACTATACCATGCCAATGATCTTAGTTGTCGAGGCATTAACTCAATAATAATATAAATCACACATTCATCGTATACATCCAATTTGTAGGACAGTATATTGGATTTTTTGGTTTCTTCTGCTCCGATTTCTCTACATACAGCTTGTTGAATGTGATAATTTTACCATGAAATGTTTTGTGCTTTTAACTACATTGGTTTTCAATTTAACTTTAAAAATATACTCGTGCTGTCGTGTGTCGTGTCACTTGTGTCTAAATCTTCAAATGATTACCAGGCGGCTTATTTCCAAGTTTCCAAGTTACACTTTGTGAATTTTTTAATTTTTTGACCAATTCCTTGTAACACTGGTAGCTGTAATTACCATCGATATGTCAAAATGTCAAAAATGTTGGCAAAATATTTAAACCCAAGGTTAATAAAGATCATCAATCAAATGTTATTTATAAAATAAATTGTAAAGACTGTAATTCTATATATTGGGCAAACACACCAATACCTGCATAAGAGGGTTGATGCTCACAAACATATTGTACAAACCAACAGATTAAACACAACAGCTCTGACGAATCAATAAAAGACTGACATCAAAGATCTTTCCAATATGTATACAGTTAAAACGGTATTATTTGTATCTTTATAAACGGTAGTGTTTTGATCATAAAAGACTTAATCGAGGGTTGACCGAGATTACCAGGTAAGTATACTAATACTTACAAATACAGAAAGCACGTGGTGGCTGGAGGTAGATAATGTCTCGGTACTGCAATTAGGCGCTGTGGACGGTACGCAATGAATTAACCAATTGCAGCAATTAAAAGGTACCCTAATGGTTCTCGTTGGACGACAGGTAATGCCTTTGTGAGAGCAGAAACAAACGGCAAGACAACAAGGCAAATATTATTGACATCAAAGTCTATAATTATCAAAGTTTATAATTAATACTATATGTATACTCGAAATCAGCGGGACAGTTACAATATAAATGATATTGAGTAAACGACTTACCGGTCAAGTTGAGCTGACTCATTCGGAATTGGTACACAAGTGAAGTAAACTTTGATATATTATTATTAGGGCTTATATTTTAGTTTAAACAGGGGAGTTTCGGATGTATACTAGAATAGGCCTAAATACGGGTTAAATAAATAAATAAATAATAGCCTTATTACTCAACCGCTTCCCATTTCTAGGGTAAGAATTTAAGGTACATTTTTAATTAGTATACAATCAGCAGGTGATACAAAAATATCAAGTACAAAAATAAGTACAAAAAATAAGTAGGTAAAAAACAAAATAAAGAGTGAGAAAAATATAATTAAACAAATTCCTATGTAAACGAGAAATAAAAAAAAAATACAAAAAAAATGAACAATCTAAGGTACTCCATAAACACGTACGGTATCAAGCAGATGATTAATTGAGCATGAGAAAATATCACAATGGTTGCATATTTTGTTATAATTATCGCACATAATATAAATGGGTGACTTCACATATTTGTTCTCGCACGTGGACAAGTAAACACGAGAGTCGACCTGGAAGTAATTCTTAGCACATTAAATCTAATTTGACTTAATATATCACTGCAGTCAATACAGTTGTGTAACAGCTTATATAAAATGAAACGGAAAATAATATTCTAGTTTTGTTGGCACTAGCGATAGATACAGAAGTTTAATCGGTCTATATCGCTAAAATTTCTACAGTTTCTAATGATAAAACCGTACATTTTCATAGCATCGGATACTTTCTGTTCAATATGGTTGTTAAAGGTTAATTTTGAATCAAATGTAACTCCTAAATCTTTAATTCTATTACATTTTTCAAGATCTGACCCCTGAATTACATAATTAAAGTCTTAAACTTGTCTAAAACTTACTACTTTACACTTATTGACATTAAGAAAAAGTTTGTTTTTTACACACCAAGTATCTATATAATTGAGATCGTTGTATAAAATCATCCACAAAACATAGTTTTCTGTTATTGATATCTAGAAATAAATCATTGATATATAATAGGAACAACAATGAACCTAAATTTGATCCCTGTGGAACACCGGATGTAGTAAAGATTAATTCTGATATGAAACCATTATAGGATACAAATTGGTTTCTATCTATTAAATAGCTTTCAAGTAACTTTAAAATGTTTTCAGAAAATCAAAAAATTGATCATTTAAAGAGAAGGTATTTGTGATCAACCTTGTCAAACGCTTTAGAAAAATCAGTATATATCACATCTACTTGACCTTGTACATCCAAAACATCTGAAATATATTGAGTTATTACAGCTAAATTTGATACAGTAAAGTGTTTATCTATAAAGCCATGTTGATACGGTGATATCCATTCCCATCCATCCGGGTTACGCACAGGGGACCATTTCCAGTCGACGGGACTTTCTTTTTTTTTAGAAACTCAACATTTAGAGCACAGCTTTATATGTAATGTGAAAGAGTTTAGGAAATGTGTATTTCCTAAATTGATGAAAGGCAACGAATTCATTGAATACATTGTTAGAAGATAACGGCTTTAAGAACAAAATTTTATGCCAGTTTCAGTAATTAGAAATGAATGCGTGACGCGTCACTTGGGTTTGTTAGCCATGGGCGCAGCAAAAAAAAAATTTTGGGAAGAAAAATATTTGGGGGAAATTATGAGATTCTTTAAACGTACCTACTTCATAATGCCTACAAGATCTAGTCCAATTAAGTCAACTGTCAAATTGATGTCACCACTGAGAGCGAATTTGTAAACATTTACAAGTTAAATTGTTTGATAATTTTTATTTTAAAGTGAAACAATAAAATGTACACAAGAACCATCCCACAGAAATGTTGAGCCCCTCATAGAAGGCGAATTCGAAGGAATGCAAATGTTACCCAATTCTTACTTTCATTCCACATAGTACACTAAAAATCCTCTAAAAGAACTATATTCACCAGAATACATACCAAACCAGAATTAGACATTAGTAACAAGCAATTGGGCTTCCGTAACTGCGTGAGCATAAGTCCTATTTGGGAAATAATCGTTTGCGCATTTTATAAATATACCTTTAGCAATTGCTGTTAATACAAAGCTTGATCGGCTTGTAAAACGCACGTTTTCAATCTGACAAATAGAGTTTGAGTATAAAGTACGCAAATAATTGGCTATCAGCGACTTTATCGACCGGGTTACAAACTTTGACTGTTTGAATTTAGGGACACTTTTTTATTATTTATTTAATTAATGGCTTTGGATAACTTGATCCATTCAGCACGATAATGTATTGACTACTTGAATTTGTTTGTGGACACTTTTTAAGGTTTAATTTTCGCTCTATGATTGACTGTATTCGTTGCTCTATGAACCTCTATATTCGTTGCTCAAACACATTCATTGGCGTACTATTATATGGATTTGATGCCCATTCACCATAAAATATTGCTTCTCTTCTTTTTATGTAGACATGACACTCGCTGTTTTTCAATGTGCCCTCAGTAAGTTTTAGTTCCTTCGTTTTTTGGTCTTCCTACTGATCGTCTTCCTATTGGGGAACCCTCACTTGCAGTCGTTACTACTCTATTTGTTGTCATTTGGCTTATATGATCGTTCCATTCTACTCTTCTATTTCCTTACCCAGTTCTTGATGTTCTCCACCTTCCATCTACGTTATATATCTGTACTTCTAGCTCTGTCCCATAGTGTCTTACATCTGCTGTGGTAAGTGTTTTCATCTCTGCTGTCTCTAACATCCTTTTTGTCCTCTCTGTGCCAGGTCGTGTTTCTGCCGCGTATGTCATTATTGGTCTAATGACTGTTTTGTAAAATATTGCAGTCAACTTATTTTTCCTTTTTATTATCCCTATGTTCTACTGTCATTATAATATGTGAATAATTTTACCTCTTTTATTCCTTTGGTGTCGTTCAGGGGTTTTCCAACCGTCTTAACGGATTTGTTATTATTTGTATTTGTTTGGTATTTATTGACTTTTATATTATTAATAGATGATCTACCATATTGACATGATTTTACATACAAATAAAAAATATCTAGCATCCTACAGTAATTGCCATGTCATTAGTAATCTGTATTATATTAAGAATATAACGAATGATTAAGACATTTTATCGACTTTTACAATACATGTTTTACAATTGTCTATCTTAGAAGCTTGGTATCAATGCAGGTCGATTGATTTGTGTAGAGCAGCAAGTTCTAAAATAAAAATAGCCATTATGATTGCCAACCTTCGTAGGGAGACGGCACTCTAAGAAGAAGAATCTTAGAAGCAATTAAACAGTAGTGGCGATAGGTTGGCTGGATAGTAAGTGATACTAACTAATTAAATTCGTCAATGTGACTGAATGCCGGCGAAACAATCCTTCTCGATCAGGATGATCAGAAGAATCCGGTACCTCGATACGAAAATCCGCTATTTCGCGTATCTAACCATAAAAAACGTTTGCTGTATGTTTAGTTTTTAAAAATATATTTTTATATTATATCCTTTTTATATTTTTAGGGCGGAGGAGGTCTTGTTAACCAATTACGAAAAAGTTATAGTCTTAGCGATCTAAGCGATCCCGCCCACGACGACGTACATGACGAAGCCGACACCATTACCGAACCCCACGTTACTAGGCGTAGACGTAGTCCACACAGGTCTTCTTCCACTTCCGTCGTTTACTTTTCGGAAGTTGACGTAAGACCTGACCGAGTAGCTGCTGTTCAGTCTGCGGAAGACATTTCATCATCAGGGTATTCCAGCGGTGAAGGACTACCTCTTAAAGTAGCTGCACGAGAGGGTCTGCAACGAACTGGCTCTCTCACTAGATCTCGATCCACTAGAGTTACCAGGTCTACCGTTCCTAAGAAAAGTGGTGCTAGTGATGTAAGTATTATATTTTCTTCCGAATACTTGAGATTAGCTGTTGCTCATTTCTTGACAATTAAATAAATTTGATTATATTATTGTATTACAAGTTAAAATTGCTTCTACTAGAAAAATTCGAATTATTTCTGGGAAGTTTGAGTCTATCTTTTTTATTGTTATTGTTCTGAAGCTATTTTCTTGTGGCAGCTTAATACAATTACTATTTTTGTTGAGAAGAAGCCACAATTTAAGTTTATCTTTGACGTTTCGATTTTCACTTGGAAATCCACTGCTAATGCAAAGAACCGCACATTTGCCAGACTGTCACACTGACATAGAATGTGCTCTGCTGTTTCTTCGCTCTGCTTCGAGGTGACAGAATCTGCACAGGTCATCATCTGATAATCCCATCAGCTTCAAGTGCCTATTCAGTTTACAGTGCCTTGTTAGAAGGCCTACTATGGCTTTGACAGTTTTCGTGTCTTTGCTTATTAGTTCTGCCGTAAATTTCTGGCGAATGTTCTGCAATGAACTGTTTCGCCTGCCTTTGTCCTTAGAGCCCTGAAAAATCACTCTTCCAAGGCCTCAGGGTTGGAATCACCTCCTTTAGTCACCGCGCACAGTTAAGTTCCAGGAAACCCGGCATGTATATACTCTTCAGGAAACGAACCTGTGGACCTGCGTCCCGAATTTTGCCATCCCAAGATGGCTATTTCGACTGCTTTAAGCTTGTCTACATCCATCTTGGCTTCCGGAAATCTTGTTAATACCGCTGCAACCTTAACAGAAGCGGCAGCTTTGCTGAAAGTCACACCTTCGGTTCTCGGCCTTTTTTCTTTGTGTTGGCTTTGGGGTGGTGTGCTTTCGTCTGACCTTAGCCTTCAGTCTTCTGGGTTTATATGACTTGTTTTGTCATGGCCTCTAATGGCTTTGACGGCATCTCTTTTGCCCTTTCAGCTGCCTTGATAAAATTGGCCTTTCGGCGTTCGGATTATCTCCAAAAGCTCCATGCCCTTCGGCTTTAGGAACTGTGATTTTGGCTCTGGTGTTCCCTGTCCCTTCGGCCTCGGGAACACTTTAGCCCTGAGTTTTTACTATATCTGTTTATCTTTGAGATTCCATATTGGTCCCATGAGTAGCTAAGGAAAGACAGAGCCCCGCTTGCGAGGGTAAGGTTTAAATACTAAGGGGTGCGACCTGTTGCTCCAAAGGAACCGTTTGCGACCCTGTCCCCCAGTGCCTTACAGCCTTCACCACGGTTTCTCACGGCTTGGCGTGGGGATTGTTTATTGATCTATCTATTTACTATCAATCATTGTTGGGGGTACCCAGCGGTCTTGGGATGGTTTAAGGAGGTGCAAAGTCCTAAGAGTCTGCGTGCAAAACTCATCCCCTTAGATTTGTTCTTTTCTTGCTCAACTTTACGCCGATTAGAAAAAGAGCGCATCCCCACAGTGAAAAGGATGAAACATGAGAGAAAAAATATAAATAAGGCCTTTGTCAGATTCCATAAACTAACAATAAATCTAACAGTTCATATAGTTAAGGACATAATACCAAGTGCACCAAGCGATGTGCAAACAAACAGCTAACAGAACTGGCTATCTATACAGAGACATCGTCTCAGACCCATTGGGAGTCTTACGTTGCCATGCAGCATATCTGTTAATAACTTTTAAGGGTTTTTTACTCACATATTCAGTGGCTTGTCTCATGTACACTTGGTAAATACATTGATGATGGACTAACAAGTCCGAAAACGTTCTTTGGTGAGGCAGCCCAAAGGGTCTTTTTAATTATATACCTTTTATAAAGGATTTTTAAATAAAACTTTTCTATTACCTCGAGATAGTAGAACAATGGTGGAGCTCGAATTAAAAAGAAATGCAATCGACTGCTTTCATATGTGATTCATTAAGAATGTCCAATCTCCGAGTTATAGATTCTAGACCTCAGAACTCTTGACACATGACTCCTCATGTGAACAGTCTCTTGATAGTTTAAACTTAGTCTGGCCCATACGACTTCGGCATCAGCAATGGAGTGCACTTATCATTAACTGCCTCGTCTTATTTTTTATACTATATTAATACTTATCATATACTTAAACCAATATTTCAGGAATTCAATATATTTTCGTTCAAAATTTGATATGTACTTTCTACACAATTGAGTCTTATTTCAATCTGTATTATATTTCAAATTCAATTTACACAAAAGCTTGATAACTTACCAACTAGCCAATTGCAATTGCTTAAATAAAATACAGTAACAATATACTTATATGTACGCATATATCACAGCAAATATTTTATTTTAAAGGAGAGTGACGAGAATGAAGAATTCGACACCAATGTTGTATTCCACAAAGAGACCAAAGGATTGCCCAAACTTGACGAAAAAACAGATTCTTCAAGTGAGAATGAGTTTTTGGACTCCTTAGACGTTGTGCATGACAATGTAGATGATGGTCTAAATAATCTAAATATAAACAGTAAGAATACTCAGATAATAACTGCATGTGAAGAAAATGTAAACATCAATAAAATTGAGCTATCCAAAAATGTTTCTTTAGAATGTCTTTCTTCCAATGAAAATGATTTGAACATAGAGAATAACCCGGACATTTTACAGATCACGAAAGATGTTGGGAGCTTCTCTGCGTTTTTAAAAAATTTAATAGAAACTAAAAACGATAGCGAAAATATTGACAAAGACAAAATTGAGAATACTAACATAAATTTGGATAAAAGCGATAGAGAGATATTAAAACCTACAACCGAAAAACTTTTAGAACAAGTTCTAGTATCCAATCCTGGTTCAAGAGGTGGCAAATACAACAAAAAGCACGCACCTCTACCTCCACCCTCTGCTACGCACCCTATAAAACCAGCCAACAATTCCTTAGATTCAGAAAACACCTCACTACACGATTCGACACCATCGATAAAAGCTACGTTGGTGCTTAAGCCTGGATTAGTCAGATCTGTTGGTTCAGCAGAATCAATTTGTAAGGAAGTTTTTTTGCAACCACCTAAACCTAAACGAACACTTTTAAATCGATCACGAACTTCGCTTTCTTCAACTTCTTCTTGTTCGTCTAAAAGCAAATCTTCCTTTTCTAAACTAATCAAATTTCCGAAGAAGATTGGATTTTGGAATAAAGACAATGATGCGGAAAAAAGATCATCTTGGCATAGCTACATGAGTCAAGATTATTTGAAACCTCTGTCTAATTCCAAACTGCAATCAAAAAGTGATAACGACCTACTCAGAACACACGTGAATGTCACGCCTCCGCATGCTGATGTAAGTCTTACTAAAACTGGTAGCCAACTGTCCTTGAGAACTTTAAGCGAATCACCTTTGGCTTCTCGAAGAATCAAAATTATTAGAAGATACGTTGATGAAGATATCGACTGATCCCAGGCATGACGGTTTTCTTGTTGGAAACAACTAACACCTTTTTTTATTGCAAACTAACCATGTGTTTGTTGCGCATGCTATTTTTTGATAATTTGATACGATTTATGACCAAATTAAGCAAAAGTTCTTTCAGAAACCCGTCATCAAAAGCTGAAACTGTTGCAATTACGTATAAGCAATATTAAGCTACTAAAGGAATGTTTTAAAGCATTACACATCAGATCTGCTATAAAAATTAAAACTCATTGCCATTCATGCCAAAGCGTTTAATATAATGTCACGCATATTGCTATTAAATCATTTTCCGTTTGTTTTATTATTTATTAACAGGTTATATTATATTACAGGTAAAATTTTATTTTATACTAGGTGTACGAATCAAACTGTGTTTTTTCTTAAAGTTTGCATTACCCTGTGGAATATTCTAGCATTTATAAAATATTGAAATTAAAACCTAACTAGAGCCCATGTTTTCTCAACATTTTGTTTTTTGATTCATTCGCTTATGTTTGATAATACAAAAGTTAGGTAGTTTAACAACTAGCCATGTTTTTCATTTATACAGATGATTTAACTCACCAGCAAAATTGACCCCACCACCTTTATGATTGTTTTGTTTACATTACCTGTGAGTTTGTTTCCTAAATTTGTGTCATCGAAGTATTTTTGACATATAGTCGTTGTACGACGTTGTTGCAAATATGTTTCCGTGTTAATAACAATTCTGGAACAATTTGTAATGAAAATTAACAATTAAAGTTGTAATTTTATATCATAGTGAGCGAATATTGTTTAAGTTGAAATTTTAGTGCTTATTTATTGTTTGTGATTTTAAAAATGCCACTCATTCCAACTGATGCTGCTAGGGCAGTGGCTTTAGTTGACGCTGGTTACAGTCAACGTCATATCGCTTGTATATTCGATGTACCCAGAACTACGGTACAGGATGCCATCAGATGATTTCGGGAGACAGGGTCGTACAACCGCAGGCCAGGTCAAGGGCAAAAACGATGCACTTCAGTTCGAGATGACCGCTTCATTGTCACCAAAGTATTGAGAAATCGCTTTTGCACCGCTACTGAAGCTCGTAGATCTCTTCTTGAGGTGAGAAACGTTAGTGTGAATAGGCAAACGATTAGAAGAATACTGTCAGAAATAAACTTGGGGCTTTTCGTCCAGCTCGTGCACCACAACTGCTCCCACAACACTGTAGGGCTAGACTTCATTTTGCGCGAGAATATTCTAACCGAACTATGGCGGAATGAAAGAATATACTGTTCTCAGATGAGAACAGAATAGCCCTAAAAGGTCCAGATGGACGCCAACGTGTCTATAGGTGTCAAAATGAAAGGTTTGCTGCATGCGCTATAACCGAAACAGTGGCTTATCGAGGAGGGTCAATAATGATTTGGGGAGGTATTTCTTACGAAGCGCGTACTGATCTTGTTGTGTTCGGTAGAGGCAGTGTGAATGCCCAAGTATACCTGCAAGAAGTTCTCCAAGACCATGACATGCCTTTTGCACCATTCATTGGTGATAACTTCAGACTAATGCATGAGAATGCACGTTGCCATACAGCAAGATCTATCCGTGAGTACCTTAATGAGGTCGGGATTCAAGTTCTACCATGGCCAGCACACAGTCCTGATCTTAACCCAATTGAGCATATCTGGGACAACCTCAAAAGACGGGTAAGAGCAAGAGTACCAGCCCCTGCATCCTTTGAAGAGCTGAAGACAGCTGCGGTAGAGGAGTGGCACAATATCCCATAATCTGATATCCAGGATATCATGAATGGATTGCCAAACCGGATCCAAGAAGTCGTAAGGGCTAGAGGCGGCAACACCCATTATTGATACCATTTTTTAATTAGACTTTGTTTTCCAAAATATTGTTAATTTAAATTTTCTTCGAAGATTTTATTCATTGGATTTTTTACTGTAACAAATGACTTTTTTTCAAAAAGATTATTTTTTCTCTTCCGCGAAGATAAAAATTGATAAAAAACATGTCTAGTTGTTAAAGCACCTAACTTTTATATTATCCAACATAAGTGAACCAATCAAAAAACCAAATGTTGAGAAAGCATGTGGCTATAGTTACGATTTAATTTCAGTATTCTACAAATGCTAGAATATTCCACAGGGTGATGCAAACTTTAAGAAAAAACACAGTTTGATTCATACACCCGGTATACAATGAAAATTTACCTGTTTAGCAACAATATTATTATAAAGATATTGTCAAGTAATAAGGCTATAACATATTTAAAAAATCACTTAAATCGGACAACAGGTTTAGGAGATATAAGAAATCAAAAATTACCCATTTTTAAGGTGGCCGGTTAATTTTGGTCCAGAGTATATATATATTATATATATATAATATATATATATATATATAATATATAGTATCATATATATATAAATATCATATATCATATATATATATATGTATATATATATAATATATAATATATAATATATATATATATAAATATATATATATTATAAAATAAATAGGTTTACTAGATTTACAGAAAAACGGAAAATCTGACAACAATGTAAATATCATTATAATATCGACCGCATCACAAAACCGTCATAGTTTCCGAGATAATTGACGCGTTCTATACTTAAAACTCACTTTTTAACTCTGCTGGAATCTTGGGCTTGTGCACCAAAGTCTTTGTAGCGTCGTTCTTTATCTATACTATCTATTATAGTAAGGTTCAGGTGCACCGAGTTGGCTCTTGAATATTCGTGCAGGTCGGCAACCTGAAAATTCCTTATGTTTTCCTCAAGTTTGCCTAAGAAAAGACCACATTACAATGATTTATTACTTTCCTCTGTATCTTGTTCTCTCTCTTTCAATATCGAATAAAGTTTTTCACAAGTTTTTCATATTATAACTGGAATCAAATGTAGCAGTGGAGAGGTAGCAGTCTTCTAAATCACAAGACAGCTAGCTCTAGATGAAATATGCTTATTTGCTAAAGAAGTGAAGTAAATCCCTCTAAATACAAATTAAAATTTTAACCGAACTTGTACATACCATAATCATCACGATTATCGTTTTTTGATTTACTTTTTATAATATTCTAACACATATTCTGTTTGAAACCTTATTACAAACTAAAACTAAACATTTCATTCATACGAATGTACACCATAATAAAATTGCATTTGTTTAATACTCCTTTTATGATACGTCCTATTAAGTTTCGAACAGAAAGGTTTTACCTTACAAACATTTTAAATGCGTATGTGTTATACATGCAAACAACAAATCGAACAAGGTCCTGAACCATTCTGGAACTTTTTGAAGAATAAAAAACCCACAGTCAATGGAATAAATTGGGAGCTAAATGAAATTGAGTGTGTAAAATACAAGAACCTTATTTTATTGATTAATATTAATAATCGTTATAAGCTAATAATAGAAAAAGAAGAAAAGGTAAACATTCTTGATTTTATCAGAAACCTTAATTTTCTATTTTTTGTATACCCATTGCTTTAGTTGAACTAGCCCATATGGTTAAAGGTAAAGTCATGATGAAAGATAGTCAAATCTAATAAAAGCTAAAATATAGTAAAAAGATTACAAATTATCTGTAAAAATAGTGGATCGAAAACGCCAATTTTAACATACATTATATTTATAAAAATATGAATACTCGTTCTTTTTTATTTTGACAGTGTTTATACAATTGCACCTTCTTTTTCTTCTTTCTTTTCCTCGACGCTTGCCGATCTTGTGCAGCAATCTCCCATTGTTGCACTCCATCTTACGTCGATCACTCGTTACTTTTACTTGTATCTTTTTCTGGGGCGACCAACCGACTTTTGCCATCGTTCCTTTCCCAGAAGGTCGTATTTAGTAGTCTTGTACCATTCGCTCTCCGTACATGTCCTGCCATCTGATACGATTTACTTTGATGTATCATACTATGTTTTCGTCTCCATAGAGTACTTGGAGTTTTTGGCTATATCTTTGTCTCTACTATCCTGTTGTCTCGTCTCTACAAGGCCTAAAGATCGTCCGGAGGATCTTCCGTTCTAAAACTAATAATTTTTTCGTTTCACTCTGGCTCATACTGCCATACACTTCCTATTATTATATTCCTCTATAGTTCTTACATACATATTTATTTCCGTTTTTGTGGACGGGTATTGTGTAGCTTTTACTCCATTCTATCGGCATTTCTTTTTTTGCCATATTTCATTTATAAGGTGATGTATTTGTATATGGAGTTGTTCTCCACCTTTCTGAATCAGGTTCGCATGTATGGTACCTGGGCCCGATCTTTTTTATTTTTAACTACAGTATTTTACTTCCTTAAGCGCTGGTAACGCTATTTCGGGTTCTGCTGAGTGGTACTGTTTTTGTTTATATATTGTAGTTGACTGGTCAGTAATTAAAAAATTGTGTGAAATACTCTCTCCATTGTCGCCTTATGTTCGTATTCTCCGTAAGAAGTTGCTCTCTATTATCTTTATGAATCCCGGACTATTTACCCTATTGCTATTTAGTGTTTCTGTTTCTTTATAAAAGACTGACCGGTTGCTGACTGTGGTTGCTTCCAAAATGCTTTAGCCAATTATCTATGTATTGTTTTTCTTACTTTTCAATACTTTTTTCGGTTCTGTTCTAATTCTACAGTGCGTTAAGTTTTTGATTAGGTATTGCACACTATACGGAGTGCTAAAATCGGCAACGTTGCAAATGTTCGTTCTCCGACCCGAAATCTACACACCGACAGAAAATCATTTATTTTAGTTTAGTAACTCACAACAACGTTAGGGATGTACTTCTCTAGTAGGAAATTCGATAAAAATGCACTGACCTAATGGCTGCATTGTTATCGATTTAGCGATAAAAGCGCATTTCTTTAAAAAGATAAAAATAAAAAATATACTCTTATTGAAAATTAAAATATTATTCCTAATAAAATAAAAAATAATTCTTTATGACCTACAGAAATGGTTCAAATAGTT